CGGCACGTGGTGGGTACCGGGATGCTGCGGGCAGCGGGAGGCTCCTGCTGTCGCCTGCCACGTTGCTCGTCTCCTCTCCCCGCCTGAAGCTCGCTGCGCGCTCTCCGTGTCGGGTGACACGGCTTTCTCTGCCGTGAGCGGGAGCTGGTGCTGTTCCATACAGGGCTTGAGCAATGAGCTTGTTTCCCACCATGGATTCACTGTGTTCATCCCTGGCTCACTGTCCTGGTGCAGGGGACTGTGCAGGTAGGGTATGTGCAGCCTGACAATGCCTTGAAGGGAGCTGCCATGGTCTCTGCCCCACCAGCGTGGTGGGGTCTTGGTGCCCTTGGGGTCTCAGCTGGGAGCAGGCACCTGTGGGCGTTGCTGCCTTCCCCACTCCCTGCAGTGTTAGTCCTGATGCCTGAAGGACACTGAGCTTCATGCTGCTATGTTTCCTTCTCTTGCAGGGCTTTTGAGCAGCTGAGCATCACCCAGGAGAGGACAAGATGTTGGGACAAAAAATGACCAGTGTTGGGAAGAAGCTGATTCGCCGGCGCATGGTGGATCTGAGCTCTGAGGACACACGTTTCGCTCGCTGCCTCTCCACACTGGACCTCATAGCCCTTGGGGTGGGCAGCACACTAGGGGCTGGTGTGTACGTGCTGGCTGGGGAGGTAGCCAAGGAGATGGCTGGTCCCTCCATCGTCCTTTGCTTCCTGGTCGCTGCTCTGTCATCGGTACTGGCTGGACTCTGCTATGCAGAGTTTGGGGCCCGTGTCCCCAAGACTGGCTCTGCCTACCTCTACAGTTATGTCACCGTTGGTGAGATCTGGGCTTTTACAACTGGGTGGAACCTCATTCTCTCCTATGTGATAGGTATGATGCCAGGCAGGCTGCTGACATGTGTACTCAGGCTCCTTCCAGCACCATGTTGGCAGCATGGGGGGCTTCTGGGGACAGCATGTGGTGCTGTGGGGGCAGGGAGTGGGGTGGGATCAGCAGGGAGGCAGGTGCTGTGGTGATGATGGCTGGTGCCACTCTGCCCTGGGCTCAGACTGATGCACAGATTTGTCATCGACCAGGTACAGCCAGTGTGGCTCGAGCCTGGAGTGCAGCATTTGATAACATCATCGGCAACCATATCTCCACCTTCTTCACCAACAAGACCACAGTGCACCTGCCGGGAGTGCTGGCTGAGCGCCCAGACTTCTTTGCCCTGATCCTGATTGTGCTACTTACTGGTGAGTGCGCAGGAGTGGCTCTGTGGCCCTGTAGGTGGTGGCATGGGAGCCTGGTGGGGCCCCACTTACCCTTTCTCTGTCCCCACAGCGCTGCTGGCTTTCGGCGTCAGCGAATCTGCCCTTGTGAACAAGATCTTCACGGCAGTGAACCTGTTGGTTCTGAGCTTCGTCATCATTGCAGGCTTTGTGAAGGGAGATATCAAGAACTGGCAGCTCTCAAAGGAGGACTATGTCAACCACTCGAACTCAGAGGACATCATGTAAGGAGAGCAGCTGTGCCAGGCCAGGTTCTGGCACAGTGCAGGCATTGGCCCTGCTGTCTATGCACCCCATGGCAGCTGCTCTCCTCCCTGCTTTCCAGGAAAACTTTTGGCTCTGGCGGATTTGTCCCCTTTGGACTGGAAGGGATCCTGACTGGCGCTGCCACCTGTTTCTACGCCTTCGTGGGCTTTGACTGCATTGCCACCACAGGTACTGCCTTGGGTGAGGGTGACATGGACATTTCCCCAGCACAGCCAGCAGCTGGCTGGGACCTGCTGGGGAAGGATACTCCATGGCGTGGGAAACAGCTGGTCCCACTGCTCCGGGGAGGTTTCCCTGCGGTGTCTCTGTCTCCAGCTGGGCCAGACAAAAGGGCTCACAGCCTGCCCTGTCCCAGGGAAAGGGGCTCATTGCACTGCATGGTGGGAGCACGGCTGCACCCTGCCTGTGCAGGCAGCCCCCAGGGCAGCGGGGAGCCTTTCGACTGCTGAGCCGAGGCTGTGACAGTGCTGGGAACTGCTAGTGCCTCCTGGTTATTTCCCATCCTCAAGCTACGTTTTTCTAAATGATTGGGTTCATGCAGAACTGTTGCTTCCTGGAACACAGGGAGCCCTTTTAATTTCTTCTCATTCCTCCAGGAATCTACTTAGTGGGTGGCTGGTACAGGCTGTTCTGCCTGACCTCCCTGCCTGTGCCTCCCTGCCCCCAGGGGCTGCCCAGCAGCCGCCTCCTTTCCTCCTACGCCACTGCTGAGCCCCTTGCTGGGAGTGTGGTGCAGCAGGGAGCACACCTTTGCAAGGCCAAGGTGCAGAGGGCACGCTGTGCCCACATGCACAGAGGACCTCCATTCAGCAGGCTCTGTAGAGAGTGGGAGCTGCTGGCAGGGGTAAAGAGTTGACTTGGCCAGGGGGGCTGCAAGCCCAGGTTGCCAGGCAGCTGCATCCCTGGAAGCTGGGACTGCAGCCATGCACCTCTGTTCTTGGCAGTGCCAAAGCTTCTGCCAGAGCAGCAGCATGGCTGGGGACCCCTCCTGTCCAATGGTGGTTGCCTGCTGTTGCCCAGTCCCATGCTGCCATGGAAAGTTCTTGCTCTGACTCATCCCCTGGGGCCAGCTGCCCCATGCTGTGCCGTGGAGCGGGGACACATGCTGCCTCTTGTCTTTGCACAGGGGAGGAAGCCAGAAACCCACAGCGTTCGATCCCCATTGGTATCATTGTGTCCCTCCTCATCTGCTTTGTGGCTTATTTCGGAGTCTCTGCAGCTCTGACTCTCATGGTACCCTACTTCCTCCTGAGCAAGGAGAGTCCCCTGCCTGAGGCCTTCAAGTGGGTGGGCTGGGAGCCCGCCCGCTATGCTGTTGCTGTCGGCTCGCTCTGTGCCCTCTCCACCAGGTAGGACTGGCTCTGTTCCTTTCACTGCCTGGCACAGCACAGGGACTGGGAGCATGCATCCTGGCTGGGCTGGAGCTGGGGATTTGTCTGGCTGCTATCCTGCTCCTGGCACAGAGCCAGTCACATCCCTATTTGGGTGGTGGGTGTGGACCACTTGCCTGGCAGGCCCTGAGGCATCTCTCCCCATGGCAGCTTGCTGGGCTCCATGTTTCCCATGCCACGAGTAATCTATGCCATGGCAGAGGATGGGCTGCTCTTCAAGTTCCTCTCCAGCATCAACAGTCACACAAAGACCCCTCTGTCAGCCACCATCACCTCGGGGGTCCTTGCAGGTAAGGCTCCTGGCCACCACTTCACACTCTGACCCACGGTGGTCTGGAGCAGTGCTCATGCTGTGTATCCTCCTTGCAGCGGTGATGGCCTTCCTGTTTGACCTGAAGGACCTGGTGGACCTCATGTCGATCGGCACACTGCTGGCCTACTCCCTGGTGGCAGTGTGCGTCCTCATCCTCCGGTGGGTGACTCCTCAGGTGTGGCAGTGCCCAGGGTGGATGGTCCTTGCATCAATCCGGGGGCTTGTAGCCACAGTTTTTCCCCAGGGGGATACAGTCTGGGGAAGTGCCAAGCCTCCAAGATGGAGGCTGCTCACAAGAGCCTGTGTGGTGTCTCTGAGCACATGGAGTGGCTGTCACAGGGCTGCTGCTGGAGCAGCTGGGATATGAGGGTGCTGCCTACTGTCCCCATGGGCTAGGAAATTCCTCAGGCTCTGCTGCAAGCTTGTCCTACCCGCTCAGGTACCAGCCTGGGCAGCTGAACTCGCCAAAAGCCATGGAAATGCTGGAGCTGAACGGGAATGAGGAGGAAAGGGTGATCATGAACCCTATCATCACTGGTGCCAGTGCCCAGCAGAAAGAAGCATTGTCCCTGGCAACACTCTTCAACCCGCCTGCGGACACCCCCACTGCACTCTCGGGGTGCATCGTCTATGTCTGTGTCTCGGTCATTGGTGAGTGAGTGGGAGCTGGCGACTGATGTCCCCTGCTGCCAGGGGTTGGAGTGTTTTGGCATGCCTCTGCAGAGCCAGGAAGGGATGGAGAGTGTGCCAGGTGAAGGAGAGGAGCCAGGCAGCACAGGCTGCCAGCTGCTGTTGCCACTGAACCCACCCTGCCCTGGCAGGTGCCAAGCGCAGGGCACAGCTGTGGTTTGGGGCACACAGGGATTGCTGGAAGACATGGGTGCTAAGCCAGGCATGGGTGGGTGATCACGAGAGATCCCTGTGACAAGCCTGGCCCAGACTGGCCACCCAGTGAGGGTGGTCCCCAGCCCCCTGGGGTTTGGCCAGTGAGCTTTGATCCACTCATCAATGGGTCCATTGTGCAGCCAGAATGGGGCTGTGCAGCCAGGTCTGGGTAAGCATCAGAGCTGGGTTCAAGCCCAGCTGAGTGCAGACACTTGCTCAGACCCTGCAGCTTTTGTCAGGCTGGCAAGTGCCTCTGGCAAAGCTCTTTCCCGAGGCTGTGGGGTGGGTGCTAGAGATAGCAGGTGCTGGACCCATACCTGACCAAGAGGAGTGAGTGCCTCAGCCCAGCTGTTGGTGAGGCTCAGGGTCCCAGTGAGGCCACATTCCATGCAGCCCCCTAAGCACTCCCTTTCTTGCAGCCACACTTATCACAGTTATCTGCGTGGTCCTGACCCTCAAGGTGGCTGCACTGAAAGATGCCAATGTGGGCTGCATCGTGGCCCTGGTGCTTCTCGTCATGGCTCTGCTCATTCCCACCATCATCGTCTGGAGGCAGCCGCAGAGCAACACGCGGTTAAACTTCAAAGTGAGTGCAGCCCCTTGCAGTTTGGCATCTGAACCCCCATGGACTCCAGCAGGGTCTGGACATTGCAGGGTCTGTCAGGGCTTGCTGCCAGCAAGGCCCAGGGCCCTGAGACACATCTCTCCAAAGTGCAGTTACCAGCATGGAAGTGCCTGGGTGCTCGCTGGGCTGCAGGGGTGGGGTCCCTCCATCCCAGCAGCATCCTTGAGCTCAGCCTGGTCCCTCAAGGCACAGTTGACATGGCACTTCTTGTCCCTTGCAGGTACCTTTCCTCCCAGTCCTGCCAATCTTCAGCATCTTTGTTAACATCCTGCTGATGGTACAGCTGAGTACTGGCACCTGGCTGCGGTTTGCCATCTGGATGGCTTTGGGTAGGTGTCCTGTGACAGGGAGTGCAGTGCTCACAGGGTCTTTCCTGGGGTACTGTTGATGTTGTCAGCCCACCATTAAGGTGTCCTGTGACAGGGAGTGCAGTGCCCACAGGGTCTTTCCTGGGGGACTGTTGATGTTGTCAGCCCACCATTGTGTGTTTCATTATGGAAACTGTTCGGCAGGTTTTATGATTTACTTTGGCTACGGGATTCGGAACAGCGTGGAAGGGAAAAATGCAGAGGCCTGTGCCACAGTAGAAAAGCCTCTGCACCATCCTGTCCCAGAGCTCAGCCCTGGGGCTGCTGCTGTCTGAGGGACTGGGCACCAGCACTCCATGGACCTCTGCCATTTCCCACTTGGAGACAAGATCATGATCCACATGGTACATACGTCCTGTCTCCTGCAGGGACTGAGTCCCAGAGTCAGGACTGGAGCTGGGTATTGTGCTGCCCTTTCCCCTTACAGAGCAGAGGTCATGGAGACAAGTCCCCAGGCTGGGTGGGAGTGCTGGTGGCCCAGGGCTGGTCTCTGCCATCCTCCAGTCCTGCTGAGGGCCAGTGACACCAGCATGGCCCTCCTGCCATTAAAGCTGCTTTCCCTGTGCATAGGAGGCCCCATGTGATTGTGCAGCGGTACTTGTTCCATCTGTCATGTGGCTGTTTACCAACTCTTCTCTGTGCTTTCCAAGTGCCATGTGTGTACATGGCAGCCATGGCTGGAGCTGTGCAGGGAGGCTTGGGACAGCTCATTCTGGTACTTATACTGCCAGCCAACTGGTACTCCCCAGCAGCACAGGGCTGAGGGGACCAAAACCCTCTCTGTGCCTGGGTTTTGCATCCCCTACTCAGCCCTGTGCTGCCCTGGCCATGCTGCTTGGTGTGAATATCTAGCTCAGGTGTCTGTGATGATGTTGTCAGTGTAGCGGTACCAGTGTCCAACCTCATATAATTGATGATTTAATGTTGATTTTTATACCTATTAAACTAAATGGTTTTTAAGTGCTTGTCTCTGTTGGTCTTGCCACATCTTGTATTAAAGCTGTGGTCGTGGGCCTCTGGGCAGGACCCCACATGCTACTGGGCTGGGTGCCAGGCTGGTGCCACTGCAGAATAATGCCTGGTCCTAGCCAGATGTGCTGGGTGAGCTCCCTGCCTGAAACCTGCCTGCTGCAGCCACCAGCCCTCACACTGTTCCCAGGGAGAGTGAGCCTGTGAGCCTGGAGCTGTGGAGCAGGGCTTCTGGCCAGCTCAACTCAGTGCTGCTGGTATCTGAGGACAGGGCAGCAGCCTGCCATAGCCCTGTCTTGCAGACCATGTGCTGCAAGGGTTGTCACCAGGTCCCAGAGCAGTGGCTGCAGTAAAGACTTTGGAAATACCTCCTCGACGTGCCAGCCATGGCCTGCAGAGGAAGCATGACCAGGAACTGGGTTGCATCCATGTGATTACTCGATTTTCCAGATTCTGGTCTGGTCTCAATCAGACCTGACATTATTATTCAAAATAAACTAATTTAGGGCGGATGAATTGTGCTTGGTTTTGGCATCTCTCCCTGTTTATTGGCAGTGGTGCAGGGTCACTACATGGTCAGTGGTGAGGGACCTGCACCATCAGCTGTTTAGCCTCTGGGCTGGAGCTATGAGCTCTGCCCCAGGGCTGTGCCTGGAGTAAAAGGGGCTGTTACACTTGCTCTGGCTAGACTAGGCATTCCCTGTCCTTGTGCTCTGGGCTGGGGTGCCCTGCCAGAGCCTCATGCTCCATCCCTGAGACACAGCTGACTCCTGGCACCGGCTCCTCACAGGTGCTTCCAGCTCTCCTATTCAAGCTGTCGCCTTGGTGCGCCACACTGTGCAGGTGTCTTCTGGCCAGGGGCAGGACATGGGGCCCTGCTGAGCCGTGAGCCTGCAGTACCCCCAGCGCCCATGCACCCAGTTTTGTGTCCTATTACCCAAGGCTAGTGGGCAAAGGGCCCATGATACAGCTGCAACCCTCAGCCTCTTGACCATGCCATGTTTTTGTCTGTGTCCCTGTGCATATGTGCACATCCATTCCCATGTCTATATGTGGGTCTGTGCCGATGGGCATGTCTATGCCTAGCTACAGGCCATCCCACTGAGCACTGTCATCCCATCTGGGGCATCCATTGGGACTGGCAGAGCTGTGAACATGGAGCAGGCTTCTGGAAGTTTTGGGAAGCTCCCACCATGGCAGCTCAGCAGGGAAAGCAGCTGTCTGGCAGCTGCCAGTCCATGCTGGTGTGTGCCAGTAGGTCAGTGCAGGTGCTGGTGGGAGCACAGCAGCTTTCCCCACTGCTGTGGCTTGGGCTGGAGACCCTGCTCCTGCCTGCCACCCTGGGGAGGCTGCTCCAGCTCTGCACACCCACTTCAGGGGGACCCTGCCTCCCTCTGCCCACTGCTTCCTTCTGCTAGGGATGGCACCACATTCTCTGCTGGGCAGCGTCTCTGCCTTTCCTAGGCCCCACTGGTGTTACTGTACATCTCGGTGCATCAGTTGGTGGGTGAACAATACCCAGTTAGAGCCCCAGCATGTCTACACAGGCTGACTGCTCTCACCTCTGTAGCTGCTGCCCCACCAGCCTGCCTGTGGGCTACTGAGCTGCTCCAATAGCAGCCCAGAACTCCATCATACAGAGAGGGGCCAGGAGGGAAATGTTCCTGGTTGAAGGCTGTTAGGTGCTGGGGGCTGTAGGGTGGGCTTTCCCCTTCTGTGCCAGTTTGGAAGGGGCTATTTTCTGGTTTGAGAAAACTCAGCAAAAAGCAGAGCCTGGCTTTGCCTCTGAGAGGCCAGGCCCAAGCCCTGCACACAGCTGCCTGCTGTTTGCCCTGTCAGCTGGGGCATTTCCACCCAGGTACACAGCACAGGCTGTGCCTGCCTTCTGCCCATCTGTGAGTCTCCCTGGTGCAGCTCCAGCCCTGGCAGAGCATCCAACAAGCCTGAAGCTGCTCCCCTGCCTGTGCCTCTGCCGCTCTGTGGGTGCCAGGCAGACCAAGCACAGCGTGGGCAGGGGCAGCTGAGCTGGCTCCTGGCTCAGTGTTGTCTTGCTGGCTGTAGTGCTGAGGAGGACACTCAGACAGGCCTCATTGGGAGCTACAGCCAGGGCTCGGTTTGTGATCTCCCTGGTGCTGTCCCCGCTGGGTTTAAAGGAGAGCTGCAGGGCTGTTGGCTCCTGTTGCATTTGGCCCAAGCCATGCTGAGGAGGGAGGTAGTTGGGGCAGCACTGCATTGGAGGCCTGGCTGAGGCCACTCACCGATGTGCTCTGGCCATGGGCCATGCCAAGGATGAGTCAGGGTGTGAGGGATTCAGAGAGCTGGTTATTCTCAGATTCCCTCCCTGTCTGGTTCTACCCCATCCCATGGTTTTCATAACCTCACACACTGTCACATGCCTGACATCCCCCAACTGCCTTTGGGGGACACAGGGCTTTCCTGACAGAGCCATCAGAGCAGCTCTCTCCACACCAGCTGCTTGCCACCTCTAGGGGGGCTGATGAGAGGACCCCACGTGGCCACACAGGCTGGGGGCAGGCTGGAGACAGGGTGCTGTGCCTCTCAGCCCTGGGAGGGAGAGCTGGCACTGTGGAGCCTGCCCCTGCACTGCTCCCCTTCCAGAACAGGGGTGGCCCTGGCACGTGGAGGTGTAGCAGCAGATTAAATTTTAAATTGGGTACAATGATCTGCTTGGGAGTTAAAATAGGCTGGCAAGTCAGCTCTGCTCTGCGACACCAAATAATTCAACCCGTGGAGTTTATGTGCTGCCTTCTTCCCTGCAGAACCAGTGAGCAGGTAGTCAGATCCCCTTCCCTGCTCGTGGGGCAGAGCTGCAGCGGCTGTTGCGTGGGATGAATCCATCAGCAGAGCCCAAGTGCTGGAATCCAGGGAATCCACTCTGGGCAGATGGGGTCACTGGCATGACAGAGCAAACTGTTCAGCTCCTGATATTTCTGCAGCAGCACTGGGTTGTGTTTTAGGGAGGGCCTCAGTGTCCAGAAGAGCTCCAGGAGATCAAAGTTGGGTGCTGGGTGAGATTCCTATCACTTCTTATTCACCCAGCTCCAGGCAGGTCCCAACCCTTCTGTTTTCTGTGGTAACAGCTTAAGCATGCATGACCCAGTAGCTGGCAAGAGGCTGTGTGCATCCAATAATCCTCCTGGCCCTGAGCCGTGGCAGGTGGCCTGCTCTCTAATCGTGCAGGCTTAATGCTTGCCTTGCTTTGCCTTTGCAGGTCTGGCATGGTGACTGGCTGCCAGGTGGTTGCTCTTCTCTTGCTCTCCTTTCTTCCCAGTGCTGCAGCTGGTGACCTGGTTCCTGCTCTTGTTCCCTGGTCCATGCTGCAAGTAGCCAAAGGGTGGTTCTTGTCACAGTCTGTCCTGGAGCTGACAAAATGATGTGATGATACTTGCAGCCAGCAGGACATTATCCTGATCCCTCAGGGCTTCCAGGAGTACCTCTCTGGTGCCCAATGGCACCCACACCTTCACTACGGTGGAAGTGAGCCCTTGAGTGAGTGGTGCAGAGAGAAGACAGCAGAGGCAGCATGTGCAGTGCTATTTATGGTGCAGACAGGCAGTTTTCCATCACTGGGACCACTTCCTGATGAACTGCCCCTTCTCTGCCACTATCAGGATCTCCGAGACCATATGGGTGTGTTGGTGTCTGAGAGGCACAGCCTCACCACTGCCTATTGCATTTGCCATAGCAAAGACTACATGAAGGGTCCAAGAAGATCCAAGTGGGTTTCCTGATGTTGGCACAGGATGCTGGCAACAGGATAGGGAGGCTGGTGATGCACTGGACTCAGGTGCAGCACATGGAGGTGCCCATGAGCTGGATCCAGGGCCTGCCCTTGGTCAGCATGGACTATGACTACACCCTTTTGAAGCTGCACAGGCCATACTGGTGCCTGCACATGAGGGCAGCTCCAACAGCAGAGGAGATGGCTGGGAAGAGGATTAATTTCTCAGGGTTTGACAGTGACCAGCTGGGCAAACTGGTCTACCTCTTGTATGGGATGGAGGATGAGATGGTCCACCTCATCCACCAAAACAGTCCTGGTGCATCTGGCTCTGCAGTGTGTGGCAAATTGTGGGATCCTATATAACACAAATGGGAGAGGAAGTTCATCATAAAGCTCACCTTATTTTTCCCTACCTAATGCACAAGAGATTTCTTTGCTAATCCTAGAGTTTTGTGGCTGTTACCTCTTTAAGGTCCCTTCCAACACAAGCCTTACTTAAGTTTTCCCATTTCCCCTGCTGTGTTTATGAAGGCACTTATTCCCTCTGTAATTCATATTCTCCACAACGGACATCAGACTGATGGCACTTTGCAAGGCTGGACAGATGACTGCTTGTATTTTTCACTCGTAAGTCAATGTCCTGTTCCATTTCACTGCATCTCTGGGGCAGTCCACATCACAGACTGCTCAAAGCTGTCACTGCTTAAACCTGCTTGAAGAATAAACATGCAGTTCCTTCAAGACCTGTGACAGTTGTATGGGCACAGCAACCTGACTTGCAAAACAAACGGGTAGAAGACATTTCAACAAGCTAAATGTAACACCCCATCTCAGTTATCAGACTCTGGGATAATGTGAGTGTTAAACTAATTTAACTTGTATGCCTGGTCTGGAGATGGGTGTGCAACAGTTTCTATCATCGTGGATGATACAACGCATGAAAAATCATGATGACGCATTGCTGGGCAGGGAGCAGCCGCTATTATTTCCATAATACAAACCCAATTTACAGACAGAATTTAACTTGTTCAATGGGATTACCTGCCCGAGCCAAGAGGTTCTTGGCAACCAACCATCAAAGGGTTTACATCTCCTCTGGTCCCTTATTTGAACCTAAGAACAGGTTAGAGAGTGCCAGCCATGCACTTAAAATAGGAAGAAACACAGGGAAGGGAGTTCCCGGTTCCTTCTTCTCTGAAGTGCACACTGGGCCTTTGTTAGGCTTCATACACTACTCCATTTGTGGAACAGGCGACCGGACAGGGAAAGTTGTGCTAGAACATGCTGATGTGAAACATAAGGACTGGGCTTATTCAGGGCAGCCATGCACTTTATAAGCAGATTGCTTCTAGCATCAACCATCAGCACAACAGAGGAGGAAAAGCCAGCACCAAGACAGCAGCACAGAGAAACACTGTGAGACTTGTGCATCCATTGCTGTGTTTGCAAGTGACAGCAGCTTTAAGACACCAACAGAAGATGTCCCCCCAGTTTGTGTCACAGACAAAGTGGTTTTGATACACAAATTGCAACAGGTATAGGACTCACTGTTGGAGTGGGTTGACCTTGGTTGGACACCTGGTGCCCACCAAGCCACTCTTATCAATCCCCTCCCCAGGGGCAACCCTCCCCACAGCAGGGTGCTTGGAACTTGTTGATCTTTAAGGTCCCTTCCAACACACACCTTTCAATGATTCTCTGATTCTTCTGGGTTACTCGATGGAGGGGTCACAAGTGATGATAACCTGGAATGTGCATTCTCCAAAATCCCACAAGGCCTAGGAAAGCTAGTGCTCCTTCCTAGGTGGTGGAGACATAGTTGGTATCTTGATCGCATCCATAAGGACATGACAACACCCATCCTGTCATTTTGTTCACAAGAACTGAATAGCTGTTGGGCTTTCCTACCTCACTGCTGACTTTTGGCCCCGTTAATCTCGGCATCAGAGCAGCCAGGCAAGAATCCACATACCTGGCTGGTGGCTGTAATGTTTCTGCATGTCTTGAAGCTCTGATGAGGTCAAAGACTGGGTAGTTTCTGCTTCTTGTCTGAATTCCCTCACTCCTTCCTGCATTTTCTTTGCTGAAGGATCAGCTTCTGGATGGAACCCTTCTTCTTCTTCCCTTACTAGTTGGACCCATAGACCTCCATGTGCAGTGTTTGTTTTTGATGACTGGGGCAAGTGCAGTTGTTCTTGTTTGCATGCCTATCTCCACTATCATGACTTCAGATGCAGTTTGCACCCTGGTCTCAGTCACAGTATTCTCAGAGGTGGCTTGGGTCCCTGACTTAACCACAGCACTCTGAGAGCGCTGAACTGTGGCTCAGCAGGCACATGCCAAGCCCCAGTACTGTGCCAGAAGCTGTTGGCTTTCATTGGGGTAGGCAAAGCACCTTCTGTCAGGTGGTGTGCCAGTTTGCCAGGGTTACTTGCCTGTTCAGGTGTAAAGTCCATGGCTGTGGGAGGTGATAACCACCTGAGGCATCTGCCCAAATCCTTCCACACACTCTGCCACCCAGGGACCAGCTGCCTCAATGTGCATTTCAGTATTGCCTCACCCAAAAGTTGTCTTCTCTTACACCACGATACCAGATTACACAAACCCCATGATATGACGACAGTGTTAATTAGCAGTATTAAACAGCTCATGTAAGGGTGAGCAGGGGCCTCGGGAGACTGTACCACATCAGCCCTGGGTAGGGAGATGGAGATGTATTCCCTGATCCTCTCCACAAGACAACTCCCCCAGCAGACCAAGGTCACCAGTGCCAGGGCAAAGCACAGAGCCATGGTTTGTATTAACATCTTCCCAAGCCCAGCAAAATAAAGAGATAAGCAGTGCAGCCAACAAACCCTGTGACCCAACAGGAGCTGCCTGCTTAGGAACTACTATGGCTCTAGCACACTAACACAGAACTGCTGCTGTCCCAGGCACTGAAAGGACTATGATGGGCTGACCCTGGCTGGACACCAGGTACCCACCAAGCTGCTCTATCACTCAGGTCCTGGCTAGGACAGGGCAGGGAGAAATTAAGATGGAAACAGAACTTGTGGGTCAAGATAAAGGAAGTTTAATAAAGCAAAAGCAATGTTGCATGTGGAAGCAAAGGAAAACTAAATATTTAATCTCTACTTCCTACCAGCAGGCAACATCCAGTTGCTTCCTTGGAAGCAGGGCTTCAATACACACAACAGCTGCTCCAGAAGACAAATGCTCTAATAAGGAATGCCCCTCTTCCCCCTTTCCATTAGCTTCTATTGCGGAGCAGACACCATATGGTCTGAAACATCCCTTTTGGTCAGGCTGGGGCAGATGTCCTGGCTCTGCCCCCTCCTAAGGTGTTGCCACCCCCAGCCTGCTGGTGAGAGGGGAATATCAGATGCAGCCTTGATGCTGTGGGAACACTGCTCAGCAGTAGCAAAAGCACCGTGTGTTATCAACACCCTTCTAGCTACCAATACACAGCACAGCACTATGAGGGCTGGTAGGGGTAAAATTATCTTCACCTCAGCCAGACTCAATACAAGAGTTTATTTAAAAAATTAACGGAAATTTTTTAAAAAAATCACACTGAACAGTGAGGATTTGAAAACCCAGGCAGCACTGGGGGCATCAAAGAGAAACGCTCTGCAGGCCCTGACCAACTCAAGGGCTACATGTGCATACAAGCACCTCCAAGTGAATGACAAGACTTTGTTCCACTTCTCTCATCCAAACAGTGATACTGCTTCTTAAGCACGTGAGGTCATAAATTAGAAACTCAAATCTCTTGTAGATGCCCACAAGGTGCCCACACACCTGGAGGGCTCTGATGGTGGTAAGTTCCACTTGAAAGTAACAATGGCTGCTGCTGCAGCTTGGAGGAAGCATCTGCTTAGCTGTAACATGAAGAGCATGTCACAGCATAAGGTGTGTGTGACATGCTGCATTTCTTCTAAGAATCCTGCAGAACTGTCCATTTTTCCCCCCTTGTTGCCCTGTATCAGCACAGAACATCCTCTCTAGCTCAGAAGGAAGGGAAAATGAATACATATATATCCACAGTCTATGGAGGGTCACCTTTGGCTGGAACTCGGATCTCACTCCACACCCCAATCCAAAATGTGAGAACAGGGCTGGCTCTGGAAGGACAGAGCTCTCTGTGAGCTAGGACCCACAAGGCAATTAATAGATGGCAGGCTGATGATTTGCCTTCTGCATCTGAATGATCTTGCCAAAACCACCTCTTCCCACATCATAGTCTGTCCGGTACTCATCTCGCACCTGGGGACCAGCAATAACACACATATTAGTAACCTGCACTGCTTGTCTCCTACTAGACTTCAGACTCATCATCCCCTCCTTGTTCAGTTGGTGGTGAACTGAAGTTTGGGTTAGAAGCTTGTTTTGAGAGCTCTTCAAATAATCCATCAAAAAGGTGGTAATGGTGGTGAAAATGACCGATATCTGATGCCTGAGGTCTTCTCAGATCAGAAGTAAAGAAGACCTCAGAGACCGATATCTGATGCCTGAGGTCTTCTCGGATCAGTAGTAAAGAAGACCTCAGAATATTTTCATTCAGGTTTGCAGTCCCATCTTTCTGAATTGCCAGGCTTGGCCTCCAGAACATTTTATCTCCTCCACCCTGGAAATCTACAATGAAACCTCACCGTTGCTCTGGGGCAAACTGCTGCATTATGAGATTGGCCTGGCAGCTAGCTATCCCCCTCCACCCCAATTCTGCATCATTTTAAGAGTACTAACTTGGATTAGGGAACATTCTGCTTGCACTGCAGGAAGTTTGGAGTCCTAGACAGATATAGCCTTTAGTTCTATTTTCAGCTTTTAACACCAGGCATCAGTTACTGAAACAACCTGGGAGTAACTAAACTTCATTATCAGGTCTTTAGAGTCCGCACATTGTTCTGCACAAGACAAAACTAGCAAAGAGGTAGAGGAGGATCAAATTCAGGGTATGAACTGGTATTGCCTTTACCTGTCCTCCAGTCTTTCCTCTTCCGTACTGTCTCCCCTCCTTGAACCCAGCGTCCCAGTCAGTTCGGATGATGCGGTCATCTAGTCTTGTGCCATTGATGAACCTCATGGCGTGCTCAGCATCTGCTCTTGTGTAGTATCTGAAGCACACTGTAAGGAGCACTAAGCATGCTGTTTGGTTGAGTACAGGGGAAATAAACCCCAGAACTATTGTATTTGAGAAGCTGACAAAAAACTGCCTTCCTTTTCTATTCTTCCTGCTCTTCTCTATGGGATAAACACTGCTCATACCAATCCAAGCTAACACCAGTTACTGCTCAGAGAGGATTCTGTACTTTAATGTTAATACCTGCACAGACAAGAAGATGAAACAAACACATGAAAGCCTTGCTAAGGGCAAGAAATTGTTAATCTGCCTTTTTATATTATGTGAAACTTGACTGAAATAGAACAAGAGGGGCAGACTTCCCAGGAGAGCTTTGCACAGACAGCTCATGGCACAACTTGTACTGGCGTGCAGCCTGTGCTTGGGAATGCTCCCATGGCTTATCCTGCTACTTCCTTCAGGTGTAAAGCTGAGGTGACAAAGTGAACATGTGCTCTGGCCATGCAAGACCTCAGGCTGACAACTGTAGCAGTTCTCACTTTGGCCCTAAAAGAATGAAAGAAATGAACTAATTAAAGGAGGTCTCTGCCACCTCCCGATAGTAGAGCAGCGGTGGCACTTGTCAGGTATGGCACCACTGTGCAGTCTGTCTCTCAGCTAAGGCAGTGGAGAGGAAGGTGCAAGATTGGAATGGATGTTCCTAGTACAAAGCACTTGGCTATCACTTCTGTCCAGCAGCAGCACAGCTAAGCTCGTTGTGCACGGGAACTACAAGTGGCAACCAGGCTGACAGAAAGGAACCAGAAAGGATACTCTACAAAGCAGAAGCCACAGGGGGTTTTCTTGATCTTGTCCAGACCCATGACAATCCTCTTGACATCTCCGCACTTGGAGAAGAGCTCCTGGATCTGCTCCTCGGTGGTGTAGAAGGACAGGTTGCCGACATACAGCGTGGAGGAAATCTTCAGCGACTTCTCCTGCAGCTGCCTGCTACCCTGCGGGCACAGAGCGCACGCCCCGGGGTCACCGCGTGGCCCTCCCGCC